AGGAAGGATTAGAAGGCAACATATGAGGTGCAGCCACTTTGCCAGACTTGGGTCCTTCCTGAGGCTGAAGGATTATTGGGGGAGGAGTTTGGGGGACACAAGGAGGAGAAACAGAGAGCAAGAAGACAAATGCTGAACAAAATGAACTCCCAAGAACTGAAAAGAAACAGGTTTCAGACCTGGGTGTGTAGAGGTCAAATACGATCTGGGCTTTGAGGCCCAGCCTCCTGACAGCCCGTTGGTGACAGATGTGGACTTTCGCCAAGTCAACCACAAAATAGGATCAAAGGAAGTTGAAAACAACAACTGCGACTCCCTAGCTAAAGCCTTTGCTCCCTTGGAATGTTGGCACAGTGGTCATGGTCAGGAAGTAGAAGGACCACTAAGAAGAACTCCATGAAAATGAGCAGAGGGGAGCTGGAGAGATGGCTCACTGCTTAAGAGCACTTGCCGCTCTTGAGGAGGACTGGGGTTCACTTCCCCACACCCACATCAAGTAGCTCAGAACCTTCCACTACTCCAGCTGCAGATGTTCTGACACCCTCTTTTGACCTCCAAGGGAACCCCCTCTCCTGACACATACAAACATTAAAAGTCTTTCCCTTGACACATACACACACTAAAAGTCTTTAAAATGAGTTGTGAAAAAAAAAAAAAGACTGATCCAGAGACTGCTGCCTTCAGTACTCAGAATAGTTTCCAAGGTGACCCTAGAACCAGCCTTGCTGTTGGGTGAGTGGGTGGGTGGGGTGTCTCTTTACCCTCATTCAAGATACACAGATGCTGGATAATAGGTATTGTCCTTACCAGGGGTCACATCGTACTCTTATAGTTTCAAGAAGTTCATTGTCCACCTGGGCTACATAGCAAGTACAAAGTCAGCCTGAGCTGCCTGAGACCCTGTCTCAAAACCACTGAGTGTACTTAACAGGCAAAAGAGATAGTAACATATTGGATTCTGGTTACTGGCTTTGAAAGCATGTAACTTGGGTTCAAATCGAGATTCCACTCTATGCTGTGTGACCTGGAGAAGGTCATTTGATGTCTCTGGATTTTGTTTCCTCAGCTACAGATAGAGGGGGGTTAACAGTAGCCTTTGTCTTAAAGGGCTTAACTATTCTCATGCAATGCTCTTAGCACAATGCTGGCAAGAATAAGAAGCCTATGATTATCAATTGCTGCTCCAAAATTGATCCATAGGGATAACTAGACATCCCATAGAATGAAAGCAGCTGTGAGCTCACACTGCAGAACTCAAGGTCTCTAGACAGAGAGTAACGGTAACATGCAAATGAAGTTGTGCTAATCAAAGGCATGTAAATTTCATCCACCCCATTGCTCACTCTGTTGGACCTAGCTTTCCTCTCAGCAACCTACCTGAGGAAGAGTGGAGACTTAAAACTAATACCGTGAGATAACAGGTAGGTCTCTAATGGATTGTGGCATTTGCTAGTGGCCATGTTGTGTTTTAATTGGCTCTACATTGACTGCTCTTGAATTATCTGGTGGCCTTTGACCACCAACAGGCTACCATCCCCTCTGACCAGAGTTCTGCAATTTAGCTCTTCTCTACTCTTATTACCTAGTCTAAGGGCTTGGAATTCTCAGATTTCTCCATTCCAATTCCATTTGATCGGTCTTCTAGGCCCCTATATCTGGGCTTCATGGGGATCAAATCCCCAGGCCAGGCATTTGTCACCCACACCCCATGGGAAAGAAGAGATGCTATCAGCAGTAATTCTTTGGTGAGTTTCCTCTACATAAGATATCCTACACACTGGTCAGTAGCCCTGGCTTTAGAAAGAACAGTTAATGACCCCGAAAAGAGAAGACATACATTCTTTGTCACTAGCTATTTCCATTCAGGGCAACTCCTTGGATAGAACTTCATGCTTTTCTATAGGTAATTGGGGTGCTTCGGGGAACACTGGATGAAGTCCTTTGTGAATGTGTGCTATTGACATGAGCACAGAACCCCTAAGGCCTCAGACCCTTGGGAATGGCAAGGCCTTCCCTTTTTCAATTACAAATTTTGGCAGTGTAAACAGAGACTATCAAGCACAGCTTTCTCCACACAAATGACTGCAGCCCCAGACTGCTTCCCTACAGAGACCACCATCCTACCCCACCCAGATTAGCCAACCGCCTCCATCATGCCCACACCCTGAGTTTCCAGGCTACTGTTGTGTCTCCATCAAAGTACTCAGCCTCCATCCAATCCTAGCTTTTCCGCATATGTGTTGTCATTTCTTCATTCTTGTTGTCCTAGTAAGGGCAATCCCTAGGCCATGCAGTTTGCAGCAGAGTGCATCTCAAGGCAGCCAAAACTGGCTCAAGAAGATACCACACAAGTTTGTGGATCCATGACTTCCCAGACATATTTTGATGATGTAAGGAGTAAAATATATTTGAATGGAAGCAGTAAGCAGAATTTAATTGAGTAAATGAAATCCCGTCTCAGTTTTAAGATCCATTTCAATAAAGCTGAGAGATTTTGCTGACAAACATATAACACATAGCTTCTACTGCAACTCAGCAAGTAACCATAGCGGGCTGGTGGTTGATTCCTAATGCAATTTATGTAAATGATGAAGTCATCAACCAGAGTAAGATCATCTGTGGATGATTAACAATGTCTGCCATAGGAATGGTGAAATATTCCCGTTGATTAGCAATGTCTACCATAAGCCTTAGTCTTGGATATGAGCCATGGACATTACAAAATAAAAGTGCTTGTTTTTAAAAAAAAAATAGTTGTTTGGGATATCAGTGAGTAATTATTTAAGAACTATTACAGATACAGAACAGAGAAGGAGTAATTAATATTTTAATAGGTAGATGCATGAAGTGATGCACAAAGATAGTTTTTTAAAAAAGATTTTTATTTATTCTGTGAGAATTCCATACATTTATTTTGATCATATATGCCCCCAACTCCTCCCAGATTCTTCCGCATCTCCCAACCCACCCAACTTCATAGTCTCCCCCTCCCAAAAAAAAAAAAAAAAAAAAAAAAAAAAAAAAAAAAAACATAGAGTGTAATTCATGTTGGCCAGTGCTCTCCTAAGTGTGAGGAAGTGGAGTTTAAATACCCGGTGCCACTCCACTGAAGAAAACTGGTTTTCCTCCTTCCAGCAGCTATCAGTTGTGAGTATCTTCTTGTCCAGGGGTGAGACTTTGTGCCCACTTCCCTCCTCCACACTGTGGTTATGCATACCTGTTAAAGCAGGTATGGAAAATCCCCTATCCAAGCACTGGACCGAGTCATAGACAATGAGGTCAACTTTGATTTCTACATAGGAAACTGATTTCACTTTTTTGCTGCCCTAAAGTGATTTATTAGGCAGACTGACCTTCCAGCCACTTACACCTGCCCTTGGCACTGTTGCCCCAGCCCTTGATTCTGAAACGATCTGATCTGTCCTGAGACCTGTGTTGGAAATCAGGCAAGCTCAACATGGGTGACTTCAAATGCATAGCTGTTGGTTGTCACCAGACAGGAGATTGATTGAACTAGACCGACATACATCTCGTACATGGGATAGTGCTTTCTCTCTTGTCTTTAGACATCTCCTCCATCTTTCAGACATGCCAAAGAAAGGGGAGTGGGTGAACAAACTCCAAATTTGAAACCAAAGCTAGGTTTTACTGGCTTTACTTGAAGATGATTGCAGGTTGTTTCCCAGGCTATTTTGTAATGGACTTTCACTGTCCCAGCAAAATGGACGGATATAGTGGGTGCTGTAAAGCTCTTGACTCTTCTTGCCTGGAGTTCTAATGTGATACCTGTAGCTGTTCTGCATCCAGGATGATGAAAAGCCATCAAGTAGCTAAAGAAGGGGGTATGGAGAAGTAGGAGGAACATAGGTTTGGGGATCATCCTGTGCCGAGTCAGGTGTATACAACCAAATGCCTTCTTTCTTGCAAGACTTTTTATTTTTCTGAAACTGGGATTCTCTATGTAGCCCTGGCTATCCTGGATAGACTGGCCTTGAACTCAGAGATCCTCTTTCCCCTGCCTCCTGAGTGCTGGGATTTAAGGCATGTACCCCCAGGCCCAGCTCTCACAAGACAATTTTTAAATGATTTATTTTATTTTAATAATTATGTATGTGTATTTTTTGGGGGGGTGCCCCATATGTGTACAAGTGTCCTCAGATGCCAAAAGAGGGCATCAGATCTCCTGGACCTGGAGTTGGCAGCAGTTCAAAGCCCTTATGATATGGGAGCTAAGACCCTAACTTAGATCCTCTGGATGAGCAGCCAGTGCTCTTAACCACTGAGTGATCTCTCCAGCTCCCAACAATTAAATTGTAAAACCACCAGCTTTCAATCTGTATTATTTGTAGCTCACAGTATGCCTTTATTTTTATTTTTATTACATTTATTTATTCATTTAGTGTGTGTGTATGTGTTGTGTCCATGTGTCTGTGTGTCACAGTCCATGTGTAAATGTCAGGGGAGAACTTTCAGGGGTTGGTTCTCTCAGTCCCCTAAGTGTGTTCTGGGGATAGAACTTGGGATGCCAGCCTTGGTAACAAGCACCTTTTCATGCTAAGGCACAGTATATTTAACATAACTATTTACAATTGTGATTTGATTTCTTAGGTTTGGGGCCTATACTAATTCTGTAAATTGCTTTAATTGGGTCTCAAATCCCTTCAAACAAACAACCCTAAAAAGTCAAAGGGTCACAGAGAAAAATATGTATGGTACCAGCAAGCAAAGGTGGCAATGTGGGCCTGAGGAGATGAAGGCAAAGAAGGCCAGACTGCCATTCCGAATGATGTTTCTGCCTCGTTCTGTCTGTAAGTGCGCAGTCTAGGCATTAGGCAAACCTCTCTAAACAGCGCTTCCCGAAGTCCTGGATGTCAACACCTTAGAGACTTGAGTCAGAGAGATCCCATCTGTACACACAACCTCCACCCACCTCCAGCTTCCCCAATAAACAAAGGCTCACTGAGTCAGCTCCTGGCACTGGGTTTCTAATCTGGAGGCCACTCCGTGTGTGTGTGTGTGTGTGTGTGTGTGTGTGTGTGTGTGTGTGTGTGTGTGTAGCTCAGGAGAGATACTGAGTCAACTGCCATAGCTTTAAAATTCAGCACCCTAGCACTCATAGGCAGTTTCCTTTGTTCTTGTGACCCAGACACAAAACATCAGGAAGAACTCAGAATGGCCTAGGAGGACCTGTCCTTTTCCAGCAGTGACATGGTACTAATTTGTCTTGAGAAGACCAGCAAGGAATCTGCATATCCTGGTTTACCCAATTGAAACCATCTGTGGCTGATGCTGCCTAGTCTTTCCCCATGGGCCTAAGAAGAAACTGCTAGGGGAGGGGAGGAGTAGGGGAGCACTCCTGTGACTCCCCTCTGTGCCTGGCATTGTACTGTTAGGTATCTTCAGAAGTAGATCCCCTTTGAGCCTCACAAGATCACTACACGAGTTGATTTTCTCATGAGAGAAAATACTGTGAGAAAGTACCTTACAAAATCAACTTGGGGAAGGTTCATTTGGGCTCACAGTTTGAGGGATGACAATCCATGATGGTGGAGAAGTCACAGCAGGACCAGGAGCTTGAGGCAACTGGTCACATTATACACACAGTCAGGAAGCAGAAAGCTCTGAACACTCCTGTGCAGTCGGCTTTCTTTCTTTCTCTCTCTCTTTTTATTCTGTACAGGATTCCAGTCCTTAGAGTGCATTTTCCCACCTGGATTTACCTAGTCTAGAATCTCTCTCATGGTTGTATCCGCAGGTTTGTCTCCTAGTGATTCTAAAGTCTGTCAAGTTAGTTACAATAGTAATAATCACACAGGAACTCTACAGGCTGGGGGCTATTATCCCCATTTTTCAGAGAAGGAGGTAAGGCTATAGGAGCACAGATGACCCCTCTGGAGCCCACAGTGAGGTATGTAGGCTAGTGGTCAGACCTATACACAGTGCCCAGTCTTCCTTGCAGGCTAGTGGTCAGACCTATACACAGTACCCAGTCTTCCTTGCAATTGTGCTATGCTCGGTCCTGGAACATGGACTGAAGTGACATCCATCACCTTGCAGTGAAGTATCTTGCAAATTCCTGTTCTTGTGATTGGAGGGCGAAGACTCCAAGCTGGAGTAATCAGAAGATGGAAGGACCCAGACCTTTGCATTGTTATTTGGAAGGGGGCTTGCCCTTCATCCTTTTGGACCATGCAATTCTTCATCTCGAGTGGCTGTGTTGTAGAAGAATGATCAAAACCACTCTGATTTCTACAATGGCTTCATTTCCTACAGAGTCCATGATACGCCAGTAGCGGATTCTCTGAAGCAACCAGACACGGGCATTACACAAACTCACAAGCCCAGCACAGCCACTGGGAGGGGCAGCACCTTCAGATGGATGGAGGAGGGCAGCATGTAGAAGCAGAAGACACACCATGAGCTCTTGCAGGCATGCTTTCCCACTGTGTCTCCTTCTACAGCCAGCTCGGCCCTTGAAGAAAACATAATTTGGAAAATACACATTTCATTGAATCGAGTGTAGCTTCAGGTTGGGCTTGAAGTTGGTGGAGGTTGAGACTGGGGTGAGCTGTATGGTAATAATGTTTGGAACATTCTTCCTAAGAGCCATGGCTCTACTTTGTCTTCTTAAACGTAAGAGGAATGAAGTCCAGGTTCTTTCTGCTGTGTTCCCAAGGGTCATGAAAGCCAGACACTGTATTCCTGGTGGACCTAAAAGGAAAAGCCCAAATAAGTCCACAGTGTTGCTGGGAAACTGACTTGAAGGACCAGTGTTTCTGATTTCTCAGGTACATGCTCCAGGCTGGGATACACGTCAAGAAGCTGAACCAGTGACTATCTCAAGATTATCTTTTATTGAGAAATTGTCAAAAAAAAAAAAAAAAAAACGGAGATGGGACTAGCATACTGGAAAAAGGGTAGAGGCTGGGAGTGAAAAGCAACAATGGTTTGGCATAGAGGATTTTGCATCCTATTCCTCAGTTCACATTATATAGCATCTTCCATGGTATGTGACTGCTGATAAATATTCATTGGAAGCAGGAATGACCTAATGTAATGCAAATCACATGCAAAGAATATGTAAATCAACCCATTCTATGAAGTCAATAGGTGAGGTACCATGCATGTTAAAAGTACAGAGCAACAGCTTCCAAAGATCCAGGAGAAGCTCTTAATACTAGCAGGGACCTTCCATTCTTAAAGAAACCCCATAGTCAGAAGGGATTCGACTGTCAAAGAATGCCACCAAGCATGAAACAGCCAAGCAGGGGCAGTGAGACGGCAACAGAGAGAAAAATAGACATGGGGACAATGGCTGTTCCCTTCATCACTGTCAAGGCAGCTTCCAAACAAGTTCTCCTTCCTGGCCCTCCCATCCTGATCACATCTGATAGTGACTGATTGGTCAAGTCAGCTGAGTGACAGGGAGGCAGGCTGATCTGCTTGTACATTAGCCACGCTACTCAAGATGGCTCCTTCAAGCCTCCCAACAAAAGAGCAAGGGACACAGAGAGAAAGCAGGAAGAGCTTCTGTGTGAGTTCCCGAGCACCACACCCAAGGCGTCTACAGGCCTTTGTATCCTTTGAAAGCTCACTTCCCGTGAGTGTTGCAGGCTCACACTGGGAACACAAATGCTTCCTACAGATCTGACACGCAGACACACAGAAAGTGAGAGAAGCCCAGAGACATGTGGATCTGGAGTCTTCTGCTTTTAGCATCCTCTGGGAACTGCAGGAGGGGCTGATGTCACGAATTCTCTAGCCCCAGAGAAGGTCACAAATTGTTTCGGATTGGAACCCTTGGCTCTGTTTGCTTTCAGTGCCTCTCAGACCTCCTGACAGGACAGGCGGACATGGAAATAAGTCAGGGGTGACCTTGTTGCTGACCCGTAGCCTCACCAGCCGACTCCTGATTGCAACCTTCTGGCTTCAGTAACAGCCTTTAATTCAGGCCTTCTGGCTTCTCAGAGGCCACAGTTGCAGTTGAGCGGCAGTAAACAAGGGTCAGGTCAGATGTTCTATGCCCTCGGTTCACGGTGTGACAAGCCAAGGTAGGAAGAAGGTGGGCGGCAGGGGGTGGGGTGGGGGCACTGCAGGAAGGAGCAAAGGGAAGAACTTTCTGATCACTCAGGAAACACATACCTCCCTTTGCCTAAGTGCCCATCTTAAGCCCATGTGTAGACCTGGTGTATTTCAGTCATGGGATGCAAACCTAATATGTGTGCTTGGATGCTGGCCCTCAGAGCCCTGCCTGCCAACCCCTGCTGGGGTATTAGATCATAAAAGTCACTCTCACCACTATGGAGTACTCCAGTAGGGCATGAAGGCAGGCTCTGACTAAAGTTTATATATACACAGCGCAGACACTGTTTATGGGGGCCAGACACACACCTTTGCACATACCATCATTGTCACACCTCTGTAAACAGGGACATGGGCTATGGATCCTTTGTCCATGACAAAGGATCTTATATATGAGGCAACTTACACAAAAGAAAGGAGGCGTTCTGCTCTGTACAGCCCTGGGCATGGGGTCAGCAACAACACACGCACACAGACAGTGGCATCTCACAGGATGAGTGGGATACTTCCTCCCATTGAGCTGTCCCTGTTCCCAAGATGCTAAACTGAGACCCTGCAGGAAACATGTCCACAGGTGAAGGCAACACGCTTGGGAAGTAGGGATGGAACTTGGGGAATGGAGGATGGGCTGGACTTCCAGTGTAGATGGCTCTCCAACTCACCAGACCACAACCACTATGCATGGTTGTCAGATGCTCCTCCCTGCCCCCTAACCCTCTACCCCAGCTCTGGCCCCACCACTGCATCAGCAAGCACTCACAGTTGGAGCCCTGGCTCCTGTACAATGTGCTTACATGTTAACTGGACCGTTTATAGTGAGTAGATTCTATTGACACAAAATAGCACCAACAGGGCCGGCTGGGGTCTTGCCTCAGTCAGGAATGGGCTTGCCACACCAAGATCAAGGCCCACCTTTGCATCCCCAGCACTCATGTAAAAAGCCAGGCACATCAGGGTACACCTGTAAGCCCACTTCTAGGGAGGTGGAGCCAGGCGGATCCCTGGGGCTCACTGGCTAGCCAGTCTAATCAGTGAGAAACTGTCTCAAAAATAATGAGTCATTAAGAGCCCAGCATTGACCTCTGGACCCCATACACAGGTGCATACAAATCACGGGAGAGTGCATATACACGTACAACAGCACCAAGAACCTAAAGATAGCTCGAAGCAGGAACCGGAACCCAAGCACATTGAGCATACTCTTAGTAATTTCTTCAAGAAATTTTGATGGACCTCTCCCAGCCCACAGGCCATGGCTGACCCAGGTTCTTCCACAAGTTACCTTTGCTCTGTTTCTCCAGCTTAAATTCAAACATATCCTATCTTTTGAAGAATTTATTTTTCAACTCCAAGGTCCTTTCAGGCTTAAGAAGTTGCAAGGCAAATAATGTAAAAAGATGAAAGTTGCCGGGAGGAAGTGCCTGCCGATAAGGAGAGCTTTACAGGGCTATAAACCCAGGCCTTGACTCTCTCTGGAGGCTCGGGACTGCCTCTCTGCCTCTCTAGCCTTTTCTAGACTCAGCCCCCTCTCTGCAGGAGAGCAGCCCCCCTGACTAGGAGAAAATTCATATGCTACTGAATAGGCTTCTCCAGGTGACAAGGGCTCATCTGAGCTTTCATTTTGCAGAGTTGGTGGGAGGTGAGTTGCCTCTTTTAGTTTTGTTTCAGTGACTGGCATGTGTTTAGTTGGACAGGCTTTCTGAAACGCATGCCTTGCTTTTGCAAACTGGGACACCTTTGTTGCCCATGGCGGTAGGGAGCTCTGCTCAGTCCCACATCAGGAAGGCTTCAGAGTAACACCTACTATGCCACTGTGCAAGACCCACAGTCACCAAGTCTAAACAGGACGAAGTCCTTTGGGTTGCCAAGGAGCCAGCTTGTTGTATGACAGGGGGTTCTAACCCCTTCTATCCCAGACAGTTTATTGGATGAGGACCTTTCTTGGAGTCCTAGCTTGGATGGCTGAATTGCCAAACTAAGAGAGCTAGGTTAGTGTTCAAACTAAATTTTCCAAGTTATTCGCACACATTTTCACTCTCACTCTTCCATTCGTTACTATAAAGAATGAGTAAGCAGTTGGGGGTGTGGCTCACTGTGCCTCCTGTGAATGGATCAAACCCAAAGCCCTGGGTTTGATTCCCACCCAGCACTGTTTAAATAGGGCATGGTGGTGGTACACTTTTAGGGTGGAGGCAAGAAGAAGGGTTCATGGTTATCCTTAACTAAGTTATCTGAGTTCAAGGTCAGCCTGGGCTACATTAGAACCTGTCTCTAAAAAGAAAAAAAAAAAAAACTAAAGAAAAGAGTGAACAGATCAACCTGTGCCTGACTAATAGAACTCACTACCACGTCATCAGGGAGATAGGCAATTGTCAGACTTCCGAAGCTGACCAGGCTGAGAAGCCATGTGTGGGCAGGGACAGTATTGCATTAGAGAGGTTGACAAGACTGGTTCTTGGAGGCAGGAGGTCCTGGAGGCCATTGTGAAGGTCATGCATGGGTCTAGTTTCTTCCACAGAGGATATGCTCTCGGGGCTGAAGGGAAATTGTCATTCTTCAGTGCAGAGAGTCCCCTGTATGCTGTGTTCCAAGCTCCCTGCTGCACAAGCCACATATGAAAAAGACTGAAATGCGCATGCCAGTCATGAGAAGGCTCAGAACAAGTTCAGGCTTCCAGCAATGGACTAGAGTTTCAGCCAGGGCAGAAATGAGAATAAAGGCAACAAGGCTGAGAGCTGGCCATCCTTGTCTACTCTCTTAAGAAGTGTGGCAGATGTCTTAATAGTGTTTAAAAACCAGATGGGGGTGGTGGTGGTGGTTGGAGAGATGGCTCAGTGGTTAGGAGCACTGGCTGCTCTTCTAAAGGTCCTGAGTTCAAATCCCACCAACCATGTGATGGCTCACAACCACCTGTAACAAGATCTGGTGCCCTCTTCTGGTGTGGATGATAACAAAACACTCATACACATAAAATAAACACATAAATAAATGTTAAAAATAAAAGAAAGCTAGATGGGTTCTCTTCTCTCTTTCCTGTCCTACCCTCTTCTCCTCTCTCTCCTATCATCCCCTCTTCTCCTCTCTCTCCTCCTTCTCTCCTCCTGATGTCTCCCTCTCCTGTCTTCCTTACCTTCCTTGCTATTCCCTGTGGGGAACACATGACGAGGAGATAGAAGAGCCAGAGGCAAGTTTACCTCCAGGGACACTAGCCACAGTTCTTTCCTTTGTTACTGTCACAGAAGGGTAGTAAAAACCACATGCACAGAGTGAACTATAAGAGCACATTCCCCTTCTGCAAAGGGGGCAAATATGAAAATATTGAAAGGGGAAGAGGCTGGAAAGGGGCTTCCAGCAGACCCTTGTCCAAAGGAAGGCAAGGCCAGAGGCATCAGCAGAGAGATGGGCAGGAGGGGAGATGAGCCGATGTGTCTGGAGAAACACTCCATGACCACTTTCAGAAACAGCTGATGGCATGTCTTCCTGGGTAGACTGACTCTCAATAAATGACTTACAGAGGGAGGCTGGGATGGCTGTGCCCACTTAGAAGGTTCTAGGATATTTGTAGGTCTCCACACTTAAACAAGAAACTTTCTCTATTAGAAAGCTCTCATGTGAAGATCTATCTCAATTTTAATCAGTATAGTCCAGATCCAGAAAATTCTGGACATAGAGCAATTGATATCCTCCAAACACTGGGAAATATACCAAACAGGACCCAACTTTAATGCTTCTTCAGCTTGCCCTAGAGGGGCATGTTTTCATCCCAAAACACCAAGGGCCTGGAGACGCAGTTCACCCGGTGGAGTGCTTGTCTAGCACACATGAAGCTCAGGGTTTGATCCATGGCACTGTATAACTCAGGTCACTTTGCTTTTCACCTAAACTTACAAACCCAGAAGTAGAACAGGATCAAAGATCAGAGTTTGAGACCAACCCCAACTACTATGTAAGATCCTATCTTAAAAGTTAATAAAGGAAGGGGCTGGAGAGATGGCTCAGTGGTTAAGAGCACTTGCAGCTTTCCCAAAGGACCTGAGTTTGGTTCCCAGTACCCACGGCAAGTGGCTCAAAAGCACCTATAAATTCAGCTCCAAGGAACCCAACAACTGTGGCCTCTTCTGGCACCTGAAGGGACGCACACATGAATGCTCACACACAGATACACATACATACCTACACGTAGTCAAAAATGATAAGAAATAAATGTCAAAAAATTAATTAAAACATAATAAACACAGACACTCTGCCGTAGGTCCCAAGAAAACAGTAATGTCTGACAAGATTTAAAAAAAAAAATGTTTACAAGCTGACAGCTCATTTTACAGTTCTGAGAAGACGAGTCAGAGATTTCAAAGCCACTGAAGAAGAGATGAAATGCATGGGTGCCAGGCAGTGTAAGGGCTACAGTAGGAAAGAAGCTGAGACAGTGGAGACAGCCCTGGGTGACATTGAGCTAAGCCCTGAAGGGCGCTGTGTGGGCAGAGGCAAATCTACACAGCTTTTGGATCACCCTGGAGTTTCCTGAGCAGCTCAGATTGTGTCCTATCCCCGGGCATGAGGTGCAAATGAAAACAAGAAGGGTGGAGAAGCAACAGAAACCGCATCACCCTGTCCTTGTTGCCATCTGCTGGGCCCTGGAAACCATCCGTGGATTTAGTTACCATGTTTACACAGCAGGCAGGACACACACTGTTCACTCTGGGCTCCCCAGAGCTGTTGGAATGGACTCTGCTTCCCTGGATTCCTGAGCCCACACCCCACCCCACCTCCCCAGTTCACCCCCAGACTTGGGGGCTAGAGCTTCCAAAAACCTCTTAGATTGTTCAAAGTGGAGTGAAGTGTAGGCTGCCTAAGGCCTGGAGTAGATTCATCTAGCTTATGCCTGGGGCCTGGGTGTCAGTTTGGGAAGGAGGACTTGGGAACATGTTGCCTAACCCAGGAAGGATGGTCCTCCAGTGGCACAAGCTGCCAGGCTGAGGAGTGAATCATGGGCAATACAAACCACAGTGCCTGGGTCACGGGGACAGTTCACTGAGCTATTAGTAGACTATTAATAACCATGGCTACAGCTCTGTTTCAGATATAGGACATAGATAAAGGACAAAATAGATGGCATACAGTGGGGTTTCCCATGTGATTCCCCCCTCCATTTAAAAAAAAAAAAAACATTTCTAGAGTGAAAAGGTTGATGGCTTGAGAAGGCTCACTTCTTACCAACTTCGACAGTTAATAAATGATGACCAGAATTTGAACGTGGGTTCTTGATCTCTGCCTAACTTTGGGGGAAAAGTCATGGATGAACTGTCAGCTGTCATCCTTCTGAACATGCTGACTTCCCTTTCAACTTAGAACAAGAAGGGGATGGTTTCTGTGAGGAGGGGAAATAGAAGGAGGGCCTGAGGAAAGGGCTATGTTGGTGAGCTTGTCCAGGGAACATAAGAACCCGAATTCAAACTTGGAACCCACACTGAAAGAATAAGTTAAAGTTGGTGACTAAGCAGAATGGTACACGCCTGCTCTTCCAGGACTCAGGAGGTGCAGGCAGGAGGATCTCGAGTTCAAGGCTAGCCTTGGGTACATAAGACCCTGTCTCAATCGACAACAAAAAGCCAGCACTGGCTGGCAAGGCGGGCCGGACTCACTGGTGAACCCAATGGCCTCTCCACCCAGCTCTAAGCCAATGAAATAACTTGTCTCAAAAAAAAAAAAAAAAAAAAAAGGTGACTGAATAACACTTGAGCAATAATATTCAAGTTGTCTCTGGGCTCCAAAGGTACAAGCACACATGTGTGGATATATCCTCTCCATACATGCACCTGCACACACATGAACATGTACACACACAAAGTACAGAAAGAGTAAGTGACTCAGGAGAGTGAGCCTTAATCTTGGCAGCTGATCTTTTCAGAGCACTTGACCTCTCTCCCCTGGTATGGGTGCTTCATAGGATGTGGCCAAGAACCAAGCAAGAGGTGGTTGGGGGATAAGACAAGGATGGGCAACCAAGCAGAAGCACCCACTAGGTTCTCAGTCTTGTAACATAGTTGCCTTGGTAATCTCTGGCCTTCATTTGCATAGCTGCCTGGGGCCAAATGTTACAGAAGCACTGGGGTTGGTTTCTCATTTCAGTGTGGACGTTTGTCATAGGAAAGGTTGGACTGACCTGTGGCCTCTAGATGGAAATGAGGAAGCAAGAGGCCCAGGGAGGTGAGAGGTCCCATCTGCAGTCACTCAATGATTTAGCTCAGAACCCGAAGCCAGGGCAATCCAGGCTCCCTCTGGTCGCCATGCCTTCCTTCCAGCAGACAGTCCAGAGGAGGGTGGCCTTCTTCATCTTTGGGCTGAAGTTGCCAGGCAAGCAAATAAGGATCCATATTTGGAAAAAGAATATTCCAGATTGCCCTACCTCTTTCCACCACCCACTATATGAAAACCCCAGACCTCTAAGACACTTTCAGCCAAGGACCTAAATAGACCCTGAGGCCAGGCAGGGTCTACTCACCCTGTGTGAAGAATAAATGCTTCTCCCACCAAGGGCTGACCAGGCCAGTGGGTGGACCAGCCTGGGCCAAATCAAACAGGGACACAGCACCAAAGCACTGTTGACAAACTGGGTGTGTTAATGGCCTCAGCTGAGGCCTGAAGAAGACAGGTTAAAGCCCCAGGCTGCAGAGACTCATGAAGGGGCTAGGAGCTAAGTGTCTCCATGTTGCTACCCTCTACCTTAGCCTCACTACCCCTTGCAGAAGCCCAGATGCTCCTCTGCTCCCTGCTTCCCTCCCTCCCATCCTCCATTCCCCCTTCCCTCCCTTTATCCCTCCCCCTCTCTCCCTTCCTGCTCTCTTTCTCCTCCTCCTCCTCTTCCTTCTTCTTCCTCCCTCTCTCTCTCTCTCTCTCTCACACACACACACACACACACACACACACACACACACCACACACGGAGGGGAGTGATAGGCAAGAGATGGGGGACCAAAGAGAAAGAAGCAGGTAGGTGTGTGTGTGTGTGTGTGTGTGTGTGTGTGTGTGTGTGTGGTTGTGTGTGTGTTTGGGTCTGTGTGTGTGTGTGTGAGTGTGTGTGTGTGTGTGAGTGTGTGTGAGTGTGTGTGTGTGTGTGTGTGTGTGTGTGTGTGGTTGTGTGTGTGTTTGGGTCTGTGTGTGTGTGTGTGAGTGTGTGTGTGTGTGTGAGTGTGTGTGAGTGTGTGTGTGTGTGTGTGTGTGTGTGTGTGTGGTTGTGTGTGTGTTTGGGTCTGTGTGTGTGTGTGTGAGTGTGTGTGTGTGTGTGAGTGTGTGTGAGTGTGTGTGTGTGTGTGTGTGTGTGTGTGTGTGGTTGTGTGTGTGTTTGGGTCTGTGTGTGTGTGTGTGAGTGTGTGTGTGTGTGTGAGTGTGTGTGAGTGTGTGTGTGTGTGTGTGTGTGTGTGTGTGTGGTTGTGTGTGTGTTTGGGTCTGTGTGTGTGTGTGTGAGTGTGTGTGTGTGTGTGAGTGTGTGTGAGTGTGTGTGTGTGTGTGTGTGTGTGTGTGTGTGGTTGTGTGTGTGTTTGGGTCTGTGTGTGTGTGTGTGAGTGTGTGTGTGTGTGTGAGTGTGTGTGAGTGTGTGTGTGTGTGTGTGTGTGTGTGTGTGTGGTTGTGTGTGTGTTTGGGTCTGTGTGTGTGTGTGTGAGTGTGTGTGTGTGTGTGAGTGTGTGTGAGTGTGTGTGTGTGTGTGTGTGTGTGTGTGTGTGGTTGTGTGTGTGTTTGGGTCTGTGTGTGTGTGTGTGAGTGTGTGTGTGTGTGTGAGTGTGTGTGAGTGTGTGTGTGTGTGTGTGTGTGTGTGTGTGTGGTTGTGTGTGTGTTTGGGTCTGTGTGTGTGTGTGTGAGTGTGTGTGTGTGTGTGAGTGTGTGTGAGTGTGTGTGTGTGTGTGTGTGTGTGTGTGTGTGGTTGTGTGTGTGTTTGGGTCTGTGTGTGTGTGTGTGAGTGTGTGTGTGTGTGTGAGTGTGTGTGAGTGTGTGTGTGTGTGTGTGTGTGTGTGTGTGTGGTTGTGTGTGTGTTTGGGTCTGTGTGTGTGTGTGTGAGTGTGTGTGTGTGTGTGAGTGTGTGTGAGTGTGTGTGTGTGTGTGTGTGTGTGTGTGTGTGGTTGTGTGTGTGTTTGGGTCTGTGTGTGTGTGTGTGAGTGTGTGTGTGTGTGTGTGAGTGTGTGTGTGTGTGTGTGTGTGTGGTGCACTCACTGGTTTTCCTGCAGACAAGCTGTTTAACTAGGCAGGTTGAGAATTTTCAGCCTCTAACTGGTGCATTCTAATCCTATTAAATATGTACCACCTTCAAAACTCAGCTTTTAAAACCACTCTTCCCAACCCTCAGCCACTCCAAAACCCCCCACCGACACCAACTCCTCTTACCCAGTGTGACTTGCTGAGTTCCAGCTTGAGAAGCCTTTGCTCAGTTGCTGGCGGGGGTCCCACTAGCAGTTTTTCTTTTCTTTATTCTTTCTTTCTTTCTTTCTTTCTTCTTCTTTTTTTTTTTTTGCTAGGATTTGGGCTATGACTCAGCTACCTGCAGCTGTTCCCCAGTTACCACCCACGTAAAGGAATTTCAGATATTAAAACGGGTGACAAACTTCCTCCCACTTTCCCCCAACACATAGCTTGATTGACATCCATAGCCCAAGTGGCCAAGCTTACCCTCACTGGTTCTCTCGGTTCACTTGGTGATGGGTTTCTTTCCACCCACCCTTGGCTGTGCTAGAGACCAGGGAAGTACCCTTTGGGAGGATGTTTACAGAGCAATCTGGCAAATCTAAAGAAGGAAATTTCATTCTCTTTTTATCATTGAATTATTAGACTCTCTTCCTACCATTACAATAAATCTCTCTAATTGCCCCCACAATGTGGAATGTCATCAAGTGAGGAGAGAAAAGGGCAAGGTGGGGAGAAGTTGCAAATGAAGAAAGCTCCACAGAGGCCTGGGGTGGTGGCTCAGTGGGTAGAGACTTACTCTGTAATCATAAAGACCTGAGTTTGAATTCAGCACCCATGTAAAAAAGCAGCCATGGCAGAGCCTGCCCATAGCACCCACACTGGGGGCAGGCAGATCCCAAGGGCTTGCTGGCCAGCCAGCCTAGCCCAAACAGCAAGTTTCTGATTCAGTGAGAGACTATGTCTCAACTCAGTCAGAGCTATGGAGGAGGACACCTGCCATCCCACTTTGGCCTCTGTATGTGCATATCTGTGCACACACATGCCCACATGTATGCATACATACATACATACATACATACATACATACAACACACACACATTCATATGCTTGCACCACACATGTGACACACACACACACACACACACACACACACACATCAAATTAAGTCTCACAGGGCCATTCAGAGCTAATTTGGGCCACCCACCTCTCTCCAGCTGTGCTTCGATGTCAGGGTGCCCATGTGAAGCAGACAGAATTGTTTCTAACAGAGCACACTCAGCCGGGACTCACAGGGCTAGGTATAGAATGGGCAGCTTCATCTATCTTCTTGTGTATATAGTGTTCTTGTCGGGTGGGAAAGACCTGCAGTATAAACAATCCAGGTGGCTCTGAAGTCACCTGGCTGATCTCCCATCAGAGGTCCCATCTCACCCTGAGCTCATCAACTTCATGTTTCTGTTTGAAGGAGGACATGGCGGAAGGCAGTAAAACCTGCCCAAGGGTTGCCATCTTTAGACACTAAACTTAAAGGTGGGCACTCCATAGCAGCCTTTTCAACACTCACCATGCTGGAATCCCTGGACCTGGAGGACCTGGATTCCTGCCCATTTGGCAGATGCTCAGCTAGGGAGCAACAGAGTAGCCCCACTAGTCCCATCAACTCACCCAGAGGCCATGTATCCTTGCTTCTGGGCAGTGGCTGGTAATGTGATCTTGGAAGGCAGTGCCAAAACCCCCTATTGGGAATTCAGCCAATCCTGGGGCTCTTCGGGGAAGAAAATTCCTTTCCTTGACCTCTGCAGGTGATCAGATTGAGGTTCCCGCAGCTTGAAATTTGATTTGATCTTTGATCCCTGCTTGCACAGCTGCAGCAGTTATTATACACCATAAAGCATCCGAGCTCACTGTTTCTTGTTCACCTGCCTCCATCCAGAGGGTGCGGGGCCAGGCTCTCCTGGGCAAGGGCAGAAGATTCTCTGTTTTTCACATGGGGGCTCTCCCTCCAATCCAGTTCTGGGTTCTTGTTCTCATTCCCAGGACTTAACCCCAAATTCCAAGAGAAGGAACACTTGCAGTTCCTACCAAATGAGACCATGTGGTTTGGCCAAAGAGAATAAAAAAATGCTGTGTGTTAGGGGTAGCATAGCTGACTAAGACCAAGGTTCAGCAGAACAGTGTGTGTGTGTGTGTGTGTGTGTGTGTGTGTTTGTGTGTGTGTGGTGTGCAGGTCTTGATGGAGAAGGGTCCTCACTCTTCTGTGGTAGAGGGATTGATCTGGGGAGGGGAGATACGGCTACGGATGCCAGTTTAACATGTCACACCAGACTCGCTTTTCAGTTTGTAAAAAGTTACATGATGGGGAGGTAGAGATGCATCCATGGTTAAGAGCACTTGTTGCTCCTACAGATGGTCCAGGTTCAGTTCCCAGCAACCAACCAGTGGTTCATGTCTAGTAGTAACTCCATTTCCAGGGGATCTGACAGCCTTCTATGACCTCCACGGGAACCACATATGTATGTGGTTCACATCCATGTGTTCAGGTTAAGCACTCATATACATACAATAATTAAATAAATGTTTTTTTGTTTGTTTGTTTGTTTGTTTTTTAAGTAACAAGAGGGGTTGGCCAGGTGACTCAGAACTCAGAGACCAGGTTTGCTGCCAAGTCGGAAGACCTGAGTTCAATCCCTGGGAACCACACGATGGAAGGAAAGAATCAATTCCTGTTGTCCTCTGACCTCTACATGTATGTATGTTGTATTATGCCAATACCTACGCAATCATACAAGATAAAGGCATTTCATGAAATAATAATGATAATAAACTTGGGAAAAGTTTTTAAGTGACAAGATTGGAGATGCATTTCCTGAAAGATGTTTGTATCCTGGGTATTTTGTCAGTCATTTGACCTGCATGGAAACAGCGAAGCCTCACATTTTCTGTGAAGAGTACACTATTATCCACTTACTGTACACACAAGGAGAGTCACATTTAATAGATGAATTAATATGGCACAGTGAGGGGGCAGTGTTGAGATCCCCTCTTTTACCCAAAGGTACTTGAACTCAAGCTCTTAACCAAATTCACATGCTGCCCCTCTTTGTGTTATTTTATTTGTGGGTTGCTTTATGTATATTTGTTTATACTGAAGAATGGTGTGATTAGGAGAATAACAATCTCTCATGTCAGCTGGCAAGGAAGCTCAGTGGGTAGAGAGCTTACCCAGCACACCCAGGGCTACTTCACCAGTTCTGCATAAAGTGGGTGTGCTGGTGCAACAACTGTCACCCCAACACCTGGAGGGTGGAGGCAGGAGGATCCTGAGTTCATGACCCTCTGCTATATAGCAAGATTGATGCCAGCCTGAGTTCCAAAAGACCCTGTCTCAAAACATAAATAAAAATAACTAAATAGGACCAAGGAGATTGGTCAGTGGGATAAAAGCATTAGCTATGGAAGCCTGACAACCAGCAAACTCACATAAAATCTTAGATATGGCAGCACACATCTGGAATCCCCAAATCCCTAGTGGAGACAGGAGAATCACCAGAAAGCTCATAGGCTTGCTAATCTGAAACACACAGTGCAAAAACAAGCGAGGCCTTGCCTCAGTGTGGTGGAAGGAGAAAACTGATTCCTGATAATCATCCTCTGACCTCAAAACATGCTCTAAATAAACTGTACACAAATGCACACACATAGACACACACCACACACCACAATAAACAAAAAAATTTTAGATTGAAAAGTAAAAATAAATAAATTCATAAAAAAACAACAACATATTTCCCCACTCTGTCCAGAAAACCACCTCTTGACACATAAGCCTGACAGATGAGTGGAAGGTGGGGACATTGGTAGTGAGTAGACAAGGGTTTGCCATACCCTGCTGCTGTCCCCAAACTGCCAAGTCTACACACAGTTCCTGACCAGCAGAAGAGTCCCTTCGGGCCTCTTCCAGGAATGTCAAAGACCCTACTTCACTGTTGCTGATGGCTTCATGAAACACTGGGAAGCAAATCAGGGCCGTGTCAGGTTCCAGTACACGCTCAGTGTGTGCTCCAAGCTCAAGAAAGACCAGCATCTTTAGCTTCCTTCTTAGTAGCTCTCAGCACATGCCCAAGACACCTCCAATCTTTGCACATCTTGAAGTCTTGAGTTCCAGGTTCAGTCTTCAGAGCCCCAAGTAAAAAGGGGGGGGGGTGAAGCAGGGAAGATAGCCCAAGGGCTAAATCACTGGATGCACAAGGAAGAGGATTCTGAGTTTGGATCCCCAGAGCCTATAAAAATGCTTAGTGAGCCGGGCGGCGGTGGTGCATGCCTTTAACCCCAGCAGAGGCAGGGGGATCTCTGTGAATTTGAGGCCAGCCTGGTCTACAGAGCTAGTTCCAGGACAGCTAGGACTATTACACAGAGAAACCCTGTCTTGGGGGGAAAAAAAAAAAAGCTAGGTGGGTGTGGCAGCCCGACTATAACTGCAGTAGACAGGGAACTCTATAGTAGTCTAGTTGGGGAGATCATCTGTATCATGGAGCTCTGGGTTTGACAGCCCCTGCCTCAATGACGGTGAAAGATTGATGGAAAATTCCTGATACCAACCTTCGGCCTCCACAAGCACACACACACCCATGTGAACATGCATGCACACATTTACACACACAAAAAGAAGAAACAAAAAACTGGTGTCATCAATATGTACTAATAATTCTAATTATAGAGAGGTGAGACGGGTGGCACCCTGGCCAGCCAGCCTTGCTGAATTGAAGGGACCCAGGGCACTGAGAGACCCTGTCTCAAAACAAGATCAGCAACCAGAGGAACAATATCCTCTGGCTTCCATATGCAGAACACATACACACCTCCCTAATACACACACACACACACACACACACACACACACACACACACACACACACACACACTGTTTATGGGATTCCTTGACAAATGGCATCATCATACCACTTAAGACAAACAGCAAGGTATAGATAATAAGCAAAAAATATCTTCTGCCCTTTGTCCTCTTTGTGACTGCTTTAAATAAATCTAAAAATGGAATCTAACAATGATTAATTCTTACCAACCTAGGCCTGCACACATTCCCATCATAGTAAAGCATCTCCCTACTTATTTTTTCATATACTTCTGGGTTATGAACCTCGCCTTTAACTGCTGAGCCATCTCTCCAGCCCCCTACGTGTTTTCTTACTTGTCATTATCACTATCTGTAAATGCCTCATTCCTGTATACATCACCATCTTTGCTTTGCTTTGCTTTGTCTGTCTCTTCCATTAGGATGGAAGCTCATAAGGGCAGAACCTTCTCCTACTGGGTCCCCAGGGCTGAGCTGCTAGCTAGGCATACAGTAGGCACCTAATACCTGTTTGTTGAATGAATAGTTAAAAGACTACCCAGAACTGGAAATCTCATGAGATCTCATGATCTCTTCAGGGACTGTCACTTGACTTTTTCCTTTTTGCAACCCACTGTGGTATTTGGCACTTAGTAGGGTCTCTG